TATATTATATATTTTGTAAATACGCAATTCAGCCCTTGGCTGCCTATGTATTTTATAATAAACTATCTATCTATCATCTATCTAGTCTAAAACATTAGGACAGTCTGAATCGAATGGAACGAACCTAATGTTTAATTCAGAATATTATGGAAAACAGAACACTTTCAAACCACTAAAAAAGTGGACCTAACAATAAAGGTGCAGTTCTAAAGGTGCGGTTACAATGAGCAACTTCTTCAGCAACTTGCCTCGCAACGACGTAAGAATTGCACAGTGTAAAAGCGGATCTCAACGTTTTTTTTTTCTTGCGTGTCGTGTTGACGAAATAGAACTCAGTTCTCTACTTTGCGCAAGCATTGTAACTTGCAACGCTACTGCATAATGCCACCCCTCTAGCAATGTTTCAGCCTATTTTCGAGTCACGCACACTGGTAGTTCATGCTCAATTTCTCATTTTGAATGTCCGTCATCTTTATTTGCCTTCCAGCTTACTTCGGCCAAAAAGTCAACTTGTAAAACAAGTAAGCGACTTGCAAAGTGTATCGTTCCGTCTACACTTGCGATATTTTCAGAGCGATTGTCAAGCGACAATCGCCACTTTCCTATCGCGCAAATCAAATCGTAGGTGTACGTAAACAGTCCTGCGATTGTTGCAGCGATGGAAAATCGCTGCGAAGTTGCGGTTTAATTTCAAGCATGTTCGAAACTCAGACGATTGTCGAGCGACGATCGCCACGACAATCGCGATGCTAAAATCGCAAGTTTAAACGGGCCTTAACATGGCTAAAATTTTCTGGGCAAATTGTGCCACAGCTGCGTTGCAAGACAAACCAATTCGATCAAAAGGTAAATATTTCCATGTCTGCTGTATTAATAGAAAAAAAAACCCTCACCTTGGCATTTATAAATCTCTACCCTTAAACATGATCGGTAATGCCATGCAATGGTGTAGAACTTTACTTGAGTTGCTTTAACAGGAAACTTATAATAGATTCGAACGATAGATGTATCATCAGTATTGATGTTAATATCCTAGAAAATGAATCCAATAATTAGATTTTTGACTCTACTTTTACTTTATTAGAGCAAACGCAGGAAAACCATGAAATAAAATCAAACCAAATACTAAAAAATAGCGGCTACTTAGAGACAATTTGTCAGTATCAATGAACCAGAACGCAATGTTATGGTTTTCCAGCGTTTGCTCTATAGAGTCTACAAAAAAAACAAAAAAAAAAAAAAAAAAAAAAAAAAAAAAAAAAAAAAAACAACAACAACAACAACAGTACATCTCTCTTTCCAACAAACTACCGGATGTTTAAAAAGTGAACCAAATACAGAACCTTGCCAAGTTCATCAATATTTATTGTATTTATGCTCAACAAGTGGAAAGTCCATTTTACTGTCTGATCAGACCTTTCCGCTGCTTCAGATTAATAATACCAATAAAAAAAAGCCGCTTTCTCCAACAAAGGCAACATATCGATGGGGATTAGTTCGATTGCATGTTTGCTAATTTTCGAGGTCTGAAGATGAGAATATTTACATGCCAATTATTCTGTATTCGTTTCTTATTTTCTACCATTATTCATTGTAAATATTTTTGATATTATTGTTTATGATATTTTTGATTTTTTCATTATTTATTATTCTTTAGGAGTTTTATTTAACTATACCTTATTCCCAGTTAATTTTGAAACGTTATTTATCATATAATTATCTATGAAATACCTATATTTCTCCATTACGTAAAATTGATATTTTCACTAGTGAAAATAACACATTCGAGGTTTCTCAATATAGTGGAAGTAAGAAAAAAGATATTTTCCGACATAATTTGCTTTCATATCTATTTATATGATAAACAGAATATTACATGGGCGCGCGGAGATACGAATTTCATCTTCTCGTGTTGCAAATCTCTCACTCGTTCGCTACGCTCACTCGTGAGAGATCTTTTCAACACTCGAAGATAAAATCCGTATCTCCGCGCGCCCATGAAATATCCTCTATTCATTATTCAATATTCACCATCAGACCCCGATAATTTTCCACGGGATCCTATCAGGTAATTACCCTATCTAATTATAACGTCATATCAAAAAATTCCTTAAGCAATAAACAAAACATTTTCGTCCGTTCCTGGTGAAATAAACTACGCGGGATCTGGGAGAACACGAAAAAGGTGTAAGAAATTTCAGCTTTTTTAAAGTCTTTTCCCAATAATCTAAGTGGTTTATTTCACCAGGAACGCACGAAAATGTGTTTTTTATTGCTTTTATATTATAGATTTTTCGCATCCGTGCGTTTACCGGTGAAATAAACAATGACATTTGAATTATAATTATTAATAATTATTAATTTACTAAGTAAATAAAGATTACTTAGTCGAGCTTTCGGCTTACCGAGCCATTATAAAAAAGTAACGGTTTTAAAAATCATTATGAATAGACCAACCTACAACCATCTATTTGATCTAACATTTGACCAATTAGTGAACGCGTACTATAATATAAATTGTTTTAACGCTAGCGATCCAGCATGGTCGCCATAGGGATCGCAGTGACTGCATATCAAATAAAATGCACTTGGGCAATCTTTGATACATAACAATCACGATACATTGAAGTTCCACTTTCGGAGAGAATAGAAATGGGTCCAATTAGCAACTCTCACCGATGTAAACATACAAAAACAAAACTCACACATAATTAATGAGTTATTACGCCAATAGAATGAGCCTATTTGGTCACATGCATAGACCTTTATATCTGATAAAACACTCTTTATCAGTATTATTTATATTAGAAAGAATACTAATAAGGGTGACCTTTATCAGATATAAAGGTCCATGACCCTAGGAAAGGTTTGATACCTGATCATTGACCAATGCAGAATGTCAACCGTTTGGATTAAAACAGGCATCAGCAGTTCTATTTTACTTTATGCGTATTCAATGTGGGATGACAAGAGTGCTTTGTGTGATTCGCGCGGATTTAACGGATTTGAGTTTCAAGTTAGTGTTGGAGATTTTTAAGCAGTGTAAAACACTAGAGATCGTGTTTTAAACTATACATTACGTTATTACAAGATAGGGTCAAGTCTCCATTTATCTCTTACCGACAGCCCACTTCGAGTAAAAATCATGTTCCAACCATCGTCATCATTGCGATAGAACGTTCTTACTTGACGTGTCCATTCCTTGGTAACGGGATTCCCTTGAAAGGCAATTTGGCAAATACGTATTGCTTTCCCAAAATTGATTTCTAGATACTGGGAATTAGCGGTTTTTGGGCACCATCCTCCATTATAACCAAGCCTTGCGTTGTATGCATAGTGCTTCCCTGTAGTGTCAGTTGATGAAGCAGAAAAGTTGCCGTCTGGAAACAGGTGTCTACTATGAAGTCCAACTGCATCTGTGCACTCTGTATACAAGAGCACAAAATACAATCATGGACAAAATCATCACCATAAGCGAAAGGAAGGTTTTATGGAGATGATGTTCTTATCCTCCCTCCCCGCCTTTCCCTCCTCCCCCACCCCTCCCCCCACCTATTTGTTGTGCATGACGTTATAATACTCGGGAATGAAGAGAATGCACAACATTGCTAGGGGGTGGGAGGGAATTTTGTCGCATTGTCAAAATGATAAGTAACTAAGTCCCAAGTAAAATGTCCAGGATTGTAGACAAAATGGTAAGAGTTCGTTATACATCATATTACCCTTTCCAGTTGCTTTTAGTGCACGTTTCTAACATTCCAAGCTCATAATACCCCAACTGTCTGGAAAGTAGTTTATTTACAGTTTATTTTCAATTATTATTATTTCATTAGAAATAGACAGAAAAGAAAAGGAGACCAAAGCAGTGTTGAAAGAAAATCGCAGCCGTTTCTAGTGTTTTCTCACGTGAATTAAGAGGAATCGATCTTTACGGCTTCAAAAGAAACATCTTTGATTTTCATATACCGCTTTTAAGACTCATCTTATAGTCTTCAATTTCCACCATCATCTTGAAAGGGAAACATGCGCATAGTCCTTATTACGACCCGCGGAAAACCTTCTGACGCAATGCATTTTGGAATTGACTAGTAAACAAGGGAGCAACGATGTCAGTACTCCAGCTGTCTGTGATGCAGACTCAGTTTTAACACGGAAAAATTGGGGAATATTCACATTGAAGTTAATCTCAGAAGCATACTACGAAAAAACAAATATTGAGAAGCAATAGGAAATAGAGCAAGAAAAACCTCCAAAAAATGTTCAGTTAATTGAAAATTTTCATTTGCTGGGCAAATCAAGCAAAATTGAAAACAAGCATATTTCGTGTGTGGAAAAATCGAAACCAATTATTTTTTTACGATTTTAGCGATTTGTTTTGATGAAGAAATGGAGATTTATATCCCATGACACATTGCAAACCGATTCAAAATGGCGAGCTTGTAATAAGGACTATGGAAGTGAGATGTTTAATAATACACCAGAAAGACTGATTGGCTGATTTATTTAAATAAGATCTTGGTATCACAGGTCATCTGGCTTCCAATCTAAGGCATGCATACCATTCGAGGTGACTATTTCCAGGAAACTATCAAAGAGACTATTTGTTGAACACTTAAAGAACCACGCGCACCCAGGATCCTTTGATTTTGAGCCAATCAGAGACCACCTTTCAACAGGAGATTATTTGAAAACTAATTAAGCATCGCAAATGCTCTGGGAAGGTCTGGCCCCCGCCCCCTTTTAAAAACGTTTTCTTAAAAGCGCCTCTATACCCCTTGTAGGCTTACTTTGGCAAAAAAAGAAAAAAAAAAACAAAACAAAACAAAACAAAAACAAAAACAAAAAAAAACACTAAACAAAACAAAAAAACAAAACAAAACAACAACAAAACAAAACAAAAAAAAAAACAAAACAAAAAAACAAAACTGAGAAACGAGGAAATTAATATGGTCATACAGCTTCATACCTGAACATCCGAATAGTTCAAGTCGAATAAGTGCGTTGAGATACATTTGTACGAAATGTAGCTTGATGTGCTTCAGCTTTATACTATAGGCAAATACGTTCATTTTTACCATAAATCTGTCAAAAGGTCCAGCAAAGACCTGAAATATTAAATCAAAAGTTATTTAGCCATACATGAATACCAAATACAAGGTTTTTAGTCTTACAGCAGAAACCGTTGCATCGCGACTTCAATGTTCAAAGGAAATAGTTGAGATTTAGGTTTTTCTGCGACTTGGGGGCGGAGCTTGATACTAATCAGCCAATGATTGAACGAGTTTTGAAAAGCTCCGCCCCTCAGATTGACAGAAAGAACAAAATCCAGACAAACTTCAAAACAAAGAGGTCGCGATGCAACGATTTCCGCTGTAACTGTATTGACGATTTTTGTTTTTTCAATGTCAAGGTTTCGTTCATTCCGTAATATGCCTGGTAAATAAACGAAAAAAAAAGTTTATTTTAGCGCCATGTTTGTTTTTGCATCTCAGTTTGGTTGTCTCAGCCAGCCGTTGTCTTGCATTGTTTAGACGTCTTCAGTTTACTGATCAAATAAAAGTCAACAAAAAGACAACTCTATTTACTTTTGTTTCTCCATTTTCTTTATAATCCAGCCAGTCAGCGCCATTAGGACTATAAGACACAGTGTATGCCGTGATAGCTCCCGATTCTGTCCCTTCGACAGCTACAGCTGATACATATTTAGATTTATCGGGAAACTGTACTTCAATGAAAGACAAATCATCGAAAAGATAAGTGTATCCATATCGGTAGCCGGGGTGATTAAATCGTCCTCTATTTGGGTCCGCATGGTTACTCCAATGATTGCCTAAGATATGGTTATTGGGAATTCTCCCGTCCTCCATGCCAAGTGGTGAAAAACAGTCTAAAAAAGAAATAAATGAAATGATATTAAACAAAATAGAGCCAAATATATTGACATCGTTAAATGCGAAGATAGAACGGTAAAAAAGAAGACGAAAAAAAGACACACACACACAAAGAAAATCAGAGCTCCTTATGTGTGCTACAGTCTATTGCATTACGGTTATTCTTGTTTGGATTTCGGGGTATCATTCAGCTTATGTTCCATATCGTTTTGATCGTTTGTTTCTATTGAGTTACATAGTCAGTGCTTTGTTATGGCTCCGACACTCACAGAAGCAACCAACATCACAACACAAGAAATCAGTAATAACTAACGATCCTAAATCTTAAAAACTCAGCATTCAACCTAAACCAGGGCATAGCTTTGATCTTGATCATGTTACCATTGTGGAAAAAGAGAATGATAACCAAAAAAAAAAATATTTCCTAGAACCGACGAATTCTTCGAAAGAAGATACATATATAAACATTATATCACATTGACATCCCTGATGTCTATAAGAAAATTACGGCATAACCTTCTAGACGCTTATTTTATTTTGAGCAACTTCAAGCAAAAATCAGACATATCTTGGCAAGGCTCGAAAAATCAAATCTATTCATATTTTGTCTATACATAAGGTATAAGTAGGTAACAATCGCTGTGTAAATGGGTTTTTGAAAATATTTCGTTTTTCGCAAGGAAATCGCTAAACAACGTCACATACTGGGCCTTTTACCCAATTACACAGCGTTTGTTACCTAATTATACCTTATCAATAATATACAAAACATGTAAATATTTGAGATTTCAATTTTGTCTGGTTTTTGCGCCTATCAATTGAATAGGCGCATGCAAAATGTCTGGTCACAATGATGAAAGACCGATATAACAGACTGCAACAATTCATAACGTCTAAGGATGACGCCGCATTTAGATTATGCATAAATAAATTAGCTCATGCAGTTCGTCTGCAAATTTTGTATATTGCTTACCAAATTACAGAAGGCGCAATATTATTTCTAAGAGAATATTCAAGCTAAAGTCGCGTTCAAGAGAAGAACGATCAATACTGTATACTTACCTTTACACCCATACAATTCGACTCTCATACACACTTTAGTGTGCCAAGTGAGTGGACGGAACTTAACAAACCGCCCCTTAAAAGCCTTGTCTAAAGTGTGTGTGGCGGTTACGTTTTGAGAGCCGTTGCCAAGAAATATCTTAAGAGAAAACACATTGTATTAATAAATGAGCCTTTCGAAAAGCATAGTTTTAACACGAGAGGCAAATATATTAGAATGTCTAATGCAAAACGGAAACAATTGCTTCACTAGGGACATTCTGGCTGACTTCAATTCAAGATGGCGGTCATGAAGAACAAATTTGATGGCAAGTGGACAATAATTTTGTGGTTTTGATAAATGTTCAAAATATCCAAATATTAAGAAATCTTTTTGACGCTTTTCAAATCTTATGATAAAAAAAGGAACCTTAGTGCTGTGAAGATGCTCACACCATCTTATTAGAGTGCTTATGAAGCGAATATTTTCATTTGAAAAATAGAGTCAGTAGAACAAGAATAACAGCTTGTCTAATTACCACTCGATGCAGGCTTTCAAATTTCAGAGAAAATTGGAGTTAAAAAATCCATTATGCTAATTTGATGACGTCATATTGTTTGCTTTATAAAATTTCAACTGTGTTTTGTGATGAGTGTTCCTAAATTTACCCATGTCAAACTGTGAAAGATTGTTTTTGGTTACAAAAAAAAAAAAAATTTCTTCAAAACAATAAGGTCAAAATAAACAATCGGACAATTTTGTATAATGAATGAGTCAACAACTTGACGTCATCAAATTAGCATAAACGTTTTTTAAATCCAATTTTCTCTGAAATTTGAAGTTTGCATCCATTGCAGAACTATTATTTTCTTCATATTGATTATATTTTCGAAACAAAAAAAAATTCGCTTCATAAGCACTTTAAAGACTAAGGAATTCGACAGAACGTTAACCGCCGTGCCGGATAATAAGTGGCTTTTTTCTGATGTGTAGGTGCATGATAGACATGTCATAAAAGAGTCACGTGACCTGTCATGTAATCTCTTAGATGCGTGCAAGTATGCATGACTATTAACCTTGGGTGTTCCATTCGGGTCTGTAACACTGCTATAATGAATGCCATATTGACTATAGTCCACTTTATACGATTGCACTCCAGCAAATCCAAGGTCATCTGCCGACAGGACATATTTCCCTTGTGTAGCTATACCGGTGATCTTATAAACAAACCCTAGATCGATTAGAAGAAACTGCTGGTCATTCTGAATGGCGGCGCACCAGGCACCAAACCCGGTATTAGTCCCTAATCTGCCATTCGTGGGACGATACTCATCACCCAGCACCGAGCTGGCAGCGATACTTTCTGCGGGAATACGATGGCTCTTCATCCCGACAGGTGATGAACATGGAGACTCTGGAGAGAGCAAAATATGCATGAAAAAGCAAGCGAAATACAAGGACTATAAAAACAGTTTAACAATTTCTTTCAGTATTGGATGGATGCTTACAGAGATTCAGTGCCTTTTTCATCATAATATTCAGCTCATGATTTAGGAGTTTTCTCCAGTCGAACAAATATCTAACCGTTGGATAATGCTATTCACCCTTCCTACAACTCGCCCTCGAACTGGGTTTTCATGAAGGAGATGCCATGTCTCAGATGTTGGATTTGCTATATGAGGACCAAGTTTTTCTTTTCCGCAATGGAGGCTCTATTAATTGTGCTTTGTAGAGCATGATAATGCTTTCAGCTGAGTTTCCTGAACTCTTTTAAACTGTGTTCGCGTCAATTGTGTGTAAAATACGCAGAAACTTAGATAAAACTCGTAAGATTTCAAGTGCCAAGTGCTCATAAGCTGATTCAGGTTGTGTCCGTTCCATAAAAGAAACTTTTACAAATTAGGAGTAACTGGTACTTTGGAAGAATACGGCTCTTTAACAAACACTGATTCATCTCGATCCACAAAGACATCAATAACCTACCTTGTAGACACCCATATATTTCAAGTCTCATGCATGCATCACGAACACCAGTTCTGGGATGAATCCTAATCTGTCTCGTTACAATTTCACGTGGATGAAGTGGAATAAATACTGGAAGATTTCCTGTTTCAAGATTGGTAGCGATGATCTAATAATCACAAGTTATACAGTTATTATTTTGAATTTTAATCAATTTCCAGACAATGTATGGGAATGTGGACTGCGCGAGAGAGTCTGCTGTCAAACAAATAATTAGTAAAAGAGTATTAAAATACCGTAAATAATCTAATCAACGCCGGGGGTGTTTATTAAATTTCAATGGTCCAAAGGGGGGCGTTTAATAGACAGGGGGCGTTTGTTAGAGAGGAACGTTTAATACAAACTTTTAAGCTTGGCCGGGGGGGGGGGGGGGGGGGCATAAGATAGGAGGCGTTCATTAGAGTGGACGTTTATTAGATCAATATGGAAATGAAAGAAAGTTCTAGTGTTTAGAAGGAGGCAATTCCGGGAGAAAGACCCTTAGGAACAAATTGGAAAAAAATATTTTCCGACCTCGCTGGGATTCGGACCCACGACCTTCAGATTTGTACTACCGATGCTCTACCAGCTGAAATACAAGGCCAGACTGGGAGCAGGTTGGGGTGAATTGGATGTTAGGTTGCGGTAATAGAACAAAGTAAAGATATGAATATGAGGACGGCATGGCACTATGATAGAACGATATAGAAATGAAAGAAAGTTATAGTGCTTAGAAGGAGGTCGGAAATTAATTTTTCCGGATTTATTCCTTAGGATCTTTCTCCCGTTTATTAGATGATTTACGGTATGGAAATGATGTTTGAGCAATAACAGACAGTTCATTCGCAGCAAAAAGTAGAATTTTGTGAAAAAAATATAGAAGTGCAAAAAAATGTATGTTTGGCTGGACGATATGGTTTGACACCATACTTGTTCTGCAATTTTAGCGTGGTTTGAAAGCAGTTGTCAGTATTATTATCAATATTAATAGAGTTCATTTTTCAATTAATAGAGGGGAATGGTTTGAAAACTTTTTGTTGTGCTTCTTTTGTACATCTTTTGTACGTATATTTAGGTTGAATTAGTCAAGACTATGCACAACTTTTTTCTTAAGGACGATGGAAATTGAAAAATCAGTGAATATAAACACTTTCTATGAGATTATGAAATGAAGTATTTCAAAATTGGTTTTCTAAAATACTTAGGATACTACGCGCGCTGTGATTGGTCGAAAACCATGTTTGATTACAGTATCAAAACACGCTCGCAAATTTCTTTTATTCTTTTAATTTTAGAAAAGAAATAAAAGACGGAATTCCATGTTTGATACTCTGATCAAAACACTTGGGATGTAGGGAGAGCACTCGAAAAGCTGGAAACCACTCCGCTACGCGTCGTGGTTTCCTACGCTTCTCTCGTGCTCTCCCTACATCCCGCGTGTTTTGATCARAGTATCAAACAHGGAATTTCGTCTTTTATTCCTTAAATAAAAGTTTGTGCATTTTGAAGAAATAGTCAGATGAATAATTTTCGCTCTGTTTTTTTTTCAGATATGACCAGTATCGCTAAAAAAATAGCTAAACCTGAATAGATTGTGCACGGTTGGACAAAAAAGTGCACAAAAACCTACAAAAAAAGGCTTCCTAACCATTTCCCTCTACCAACTATGTACTTAGAAACTTTTGTTTATGCATTACTGAAATTCTAGTTAGTTGAAAAATGTTTTTACACTTATGTGGCATACATTTTATCATTATCAATATTATAGCAGGCAACCGACTGATTTGCATTACGTTTTCAACATTAATTATTAAATACTATTTTAAAAAGAATCATAACCACCCGCCGTACCTTGCGAACCGAAGCGCCATTTTAGGTGGACAAGAAAATRRCGGATTTGTAGGATTTCTTAAAGTGAGCGCCAATCGTCTTCCGTCCTTACAGTTTGGACAGAAATAACTTTAACTAAGTACCCCACAGGTACTATCAATCTATAATTTATTGTATGCTTGACGCATTTAAACGTATGTTAACAATAATGCGAACGCGCAAGGTACGACGGGTGGTTATGATTCTTTAATGATCATTACCTTTGCTGCTGACGAGGATCCTAACAAATACCAAGTCCAAAAACTCCTCTCATCCCAATAACTAATATAAATTTCTTTGATATATGCTATGTATGTGTCATTTTTGTGGTATCCTTGAATCTCAATAGCGGTCAATCTATGAACCTTTATAAGATGTATAAGAATATATTCGCGATAATCCATCTTTTTAGCGCACCACGCCTCAGGTCCATGTAGCCTTGCTTTCCATGGTTTGAAACCGTCTTTGATGGATGAAGCCAAAATGTAATTGTTCTTTATTAAGCCGTTTGCCATTCCAAGTGGGTTTTCACAAACTAAGAGATGTTAGTATAAACATATTAATGGTCTATCACTCGTACTGCGCTGTGATTGGCTACTCTACTAATGGTCTAATTTGTGATAGACCACTCGCGGGAAAATCAATCTCATTTTAATAAATTATTTTAAGGATATTTCAATTTGTTTTCATTATTTGACCGATTAGTATGTTTATACTAAAACAATTAGACCTCTCTACCTCGACATCTAATTGTTAAATAGACATTGTGGATGTGATTAAACGTTTGAAAAGCTTGTCAAACCTTTATTTCAAAAAACGTTGTCGGGTAGAATGGCGAACGACGATCGTCGACGAGAGATTGCACGACCGAAATTAAGGGACTTTGGATAAACTGTTTTCAGAAATAGAGTTTTACTTATTGAATTCAACTTGCATAGAAATGGTGACTAAATGGAGCCAATGTTTACCAGTACAAAACAGTTATCTTACAGTACAAAACAATTGTTAATTTTCATCAATCAGCAAAACCCATGACTACTTTCGGCCGTGCAATCGCCTTTCAACAATTTACATCCGCCATTTTATCCGATAGCCTTTTTTGAAATAGGTGTATACGAGGAACATGAAGCTGTGACATGCTGTGTTTAGTGTGCTGTTCTATGCAGCGTGCCATGCTGTATACTATGATATTTGCTGTGCTGTTTACTGGAAAGAAAAGAAAAACGTGGTGGGTCCAAATCGCCTACCATGGCAGCACTGGTGCTGAATTGCGAAGGAAGCAATCCAACAAACTCTAAAGCTTTCAAGTCAAAACACTTCAAAGATGCATGCTACGGGCTAGGCGCTTCATTACATTTTCGAGCATAGGAGAAACGGTTTGCATTAGATGAGTCAGGGAAAACCGTGTGCTTTGTTGTGCACAGTGCTGTGCCGTGTGTTTTGTTGTGTGATGTGCTGTGTGCTTTGTTGTGTACAATGCTGTGTGCCGTGTGCTTTGTTATGTACAGTGCTGTGCCGTGTGCTTTGTTGTGTGCTGTGTTGTGTGCCGTGTGCTTTGTTGTGTACAATGCTGTGTGCCGTGTGCTTTGTTGTGTGATGTGCTGCGTGCCGTGTGCTTTTTTGTGTACAGTGTTGTGTGCCGTGTGCTTTGTTGTGTACAATGCTGTGTGCCGTGTGCTTTGTTGTGTGATGTGCTGCGTGCCATGTGCTGTGTTGTGTGCTGTGTTATGTTATGTTGTTCTTGGTCTTATGCTATGTGCTGTGTGTGCTACGCTATGCTGCGTAGAGTGGGTGTGACAGAGCGCTATTTCATTGTACTTTACCTTTCTGTCCATAGAGTTCCATTCGTACGCCAATTCGCTGATTAGTTTGTTTTACAACCAGCATGAGATACCTGGCAGTGATGTTGTTACGAAAATTGTGACGAAGAATGGGGTAAGTGATGTTATTTCCGTCAAACACCTAAGGATATCAACACAATTATCATTATATTTGTCCAAGCATTCTTTATCGAGAAAAAAAAATCACTCGCTAACAAAATCATAAAATATTATTGAACGCTCGAATTGGTTGGCTCGATTTCAGTTCGTTATTAAAAAAACACCTTCTTGTGTCCTCCAAACGTAGAACAAAAACACGAAACATATCTTCTAATAGTTTAAAAGCTTTTGTACATTTTTGAAAATAAAAAAGAACTAACTTTTAATGTCCCTTTATGTCCTATTGATGGGGAAATGGAAGATTCTACCTTTGAATTGACGGAAGGATTGTAAATGGATATTTTAAGTCACCTTATTTTCCACATATGGAAATTCTACACTAATGCTCCTTTAAATAAAAACCTACTCTAGTCTTTCCATTTTCCACGTATGTCGTCCAATGCAATCTAAGATCACTGTATCGAAGTGTGTACTTCTGTGTGCAATGCCAATTCTTAGAACATTGTGTCGCTATCCCAGTTATTATTGCACGACTTGGACCAAAATCTACTTGTAAAAACGTGAATTTTGGTGGGGTGTACACTGATGCCGACCACCCATCTGAAGATCTGAGTCCTGCTCTGTGAGCTTCAGCACGACTATGCCACGTGTTTGCCGTTAGCAAAGTGACTTCTTTAGATTCCAACCCAAGTGGATCAGAAGCAACTGAAAAGAAGAAGAAGAAAAAATAGATATATAAAAAATATATACAAATGTAGCCAGGGCTGCTGTGGTGGAACAAATATATTTTAAGAATCCGAGCTTTCGCTGTCTACAGCATTGTCAGGGAATACATGAGAAGAATAATATCTTAGATTAATAAGAGTGGATCATTCAAGTGTTAGAGTGAACGTCCAATAGCTCGAATTCTTAAAATATATTTTTTCCACCACAGCAGCCCTGGCTACATTTGTATATATTTTCTTCATCACAAACATGCTGCTAAAGGATAACTTTACTCGTCTAAGAAGAGAGTACTCTTGTGAATATTTTTTTTTTTTAAGTCCACGGATTTACATGGGACCTTAAAGGCCTGAAGAAAATCCTTTATACGTCCATGAGCCTGGGAATGACAACGGACTTACCAGGACATCCATGCAGCTCGATTCGCATACATGCAGAGTTCCCGTTCCAATTCTTTGGTATAACACGAACAAACACAGCATAAATAGGAGGAGAGAAAGTATTGTTCTTGACTGTTTCAGCATCGGAATTTCCAGTAAATACCTTTGTAAATAAAATAAATTAAAATAAAATAATAAAAGTTTCGCAAGTGTCTTTTGTTTCTTCCCTTCACATTTATTTTTTAGGAGTATCCTGAGAGACAACAAGGGAGAAAGACCGCATTTTTTTTGTGCGTGTGCTGTGTTAAGTCATTTAAAACAAATAGTATCTGCCAACATATTAGCTTTCTTTGAATTAGCTTAATTAAGTAAAAAAAAAAACAGAAGTTAGCACGATTTGCAATCTTATTTAGCTCGAAAAAAAAAAAAAAAAACACTGGAAAAAATCGCGCGCTTTAAAGGTTGTAAATTTGATGTAAATATGATGTAAGTGTCGAAATTGATGTAAATTTGATGGAAATGATTTACATCAAATTTACATCATTTTGGACACTTACATCATATATACATCAAATTTACAACCTTTAAAGCGCGCGATTTTTCCCAGTGTAAACCTGTTTGAAAAAAGGTTATCGGGTCGAAATAACTCAGAAATTCGAATCAATGTTACACATCAGAGCAATACTCGTAGAGAAGGTCACTTTATTCAGTGCAGGCAATCTTTTGGCACTAAAACTGTTAAACTCATATTATTTTCTTTCCCATGCTTGCTTTTGGTATGAATTTAGATCATGATGCAACATTTTGGAACCCGACAACGTTTCTGTTCAATACTCCATTTTCGAATTTAAAACAAACTAGACGCTTTGTAAAGCGTGATGCGGGCTAGCTTAGCAAAAGATTGACAATACAAGATAAAAATTGCATCTCCAATGAATATTGTGACTATGACGTAACTATATATGAAAGTAAAATATGCCGATGAATACCTTAGTTTTCTTTGCAGTTCAATTCTTATCGTTAACCTTCACTGTCTGCTATAATCTTATCATAAGCTATATCAACTATCAACCATAATCTTTGTGCTATAGTGATTGTCCTACATTTGCAATGTATTTTGTAAAAATATTTATGGAAGCTCTTTACTTCTTGGTTAGCGATATCACATCTATTATTATTTACATAACAATGCATTTTAGATGGCATGAGTGCATTCTTTAAATTTTGTTTTTATTAGCCTTTCTTTCGTACAAAAGAAATCTAAAAATTGAAGCAAAACAAAGCTCAATTTCAAAACTTGTACTTTTTCATTTTTAACTAATAAAAAAACCCGATGATATTAAAGCAATTTCTTTGAATTTAAACAATAAAAACATTGTCAACTAAACAGAAGAATACCTTTTGCTGTCTATAAATGTGGTAAAAAAGCCAGTATTTGAGCTGATTTCATGTTGAAGCTGTACTGAATAATCATCGAGCTGGACTGGTGAGGAAGGCGAGACTATTTTCGATGCAAAATCGTCTTAAAATGATAACTAGCAAGCTTGAAACTTCACAAATGCAAAATCCTAGTTCAATTCTTCAATGAGAAAGCTTTTGGTATTTCTTGTTGATAGTTTTTGAGTACTTTTTTCTCTGTTATCGGCGAAGTACCCGCCATTTTGGATTCTTGAGAAAATTTTCAGTTCGAGAGAGACTGCAAACTAATAGATATGGCTTCCTGTGGTTCGARAGAGACTGGAAACTTCGACGCGACAGATTGCGAAGGTAAAACTATAGCTGGCTAGCACAGCTAGCCCGCTAATAACCGCTGCTTCATATGACAGCAGATTCTCTAACGAAAAGACCTTATCATTTCAAAAGAAAGCACGAGAAAAATTTTGTAAGTACAATAGCGTTAACAATTTACATTTTACAGTTGAGACTAACCCTGTATTCCCAGAAAGCTTAAACCTTAGGTCTCATGCGAATACAGGGTAAGTCTCAAATCGGAGAAAATGTAAAGGCTATACATCTTTTCAGTTGCTCTTAGGCCTCAATCCCCTCAATAGTGAGTTAATTATTCTTTTGAATTTGATAAATAAGACTATTCATTTTAATGTGTGCATTGCTCAAATTCCTACAAGTTCAAAAGAATATTTAACACGCTGTCGAGGCCTAAGAGCAACTGAAAAGGTGTATTGTAATAACGACATTTTCTCATTCTTTCCTTTGTGTTTGGTTAGGTCTTTGAGCAAGAGAATCTCCTGTCAAATAAAGCAGCGGTTGTTCGCTTTAAATTCGAAAATGGAGTATTTAGTGTAAACACACCTTGGTAATCCCATTTTCTTCGTGGAAGAACCATTCATCTCCATTGACAGAATATCGAACTTTGTACTGCTTAACCCAAGAACTTTGAAGTGGGAACCCTTCCGTTTCTATAGACACAATTTTGTGTGTGATAGCTAAATCCACTTGGAGAAATGGAGACGAATCTGAGTTTTTCGAGCACCATGCTTTTTGAGGATTTTTTAGCCGAGCATTCCAAGGCATATTGGGACCTGACGAGCTGCTCGCTGTCATGCGGTCGTTGGGAACTCTGCCATAACTGATACCTAACTGTTCACGGCAAGCTGTTGGAGTAGAACAAGAATTGATAAGAATTAGAAGAAAAAGTGGGTGTATTTTTTTCCCCAGCACTAAATCTTTCAGGTTATTTAATTTATCTATGTGTGTACATGCATCAAGAGTTTTGGAGAACAATGCGTCCGCTATCTTGAAAAGTAGGACTCGAGTCACTAAGTTAAAACTTCTAAAGAAACTAAAACGTTTTAAGCACATGTCAAGTTAATACTGATACGAAATAACGATAGATTAGTCGACTTACTACGAAATGTGTTCAAAGGCATAGCATAGTGATTCGGGTCTCATTTTTCAAGATGGCGGATGCACTGTTCTCCGAAAAGCTTGATTCATTTATTGTCAACATCCTCTAACTCAACTGCCTGTGATCCGGTTTTTGCTTTTTTATTATCTTTTATAGGTAAAGAATTAATTATAAGTTTTATATTCAATATATTATTGTTGTTTTTAAAATAATTGATCCATGGACTATATTAAATTTATAATAAATAAAACTATGAACTATATCGAAAAACAACGTATTACTTGTATAGTATGGTGATTACTAGGGCTTACGGTCCCATAGACCATCAACTCGTAGTCCACTCGACCTCGAGTTCTAATTGATGTTTGGTTATTACGTGGGCTTCCTGTGGAAGTCCACGTCTTAAAATGCAACTTTCTTTTCGTCGTGAATATTACGCTTCAAATTGGTAGCGCATCGATAGCGCATGCGTTACAGTCTCAGTTTCCATGGAGATGTCAAAATAAACCAATCAGCGATTTTTGGTAGCGCCTGCGTTGCAGATGGACTGCAGTCTCAGAATGAAAACAAAATGGCTGACAGACGCCGGCAAAAAGTTGTCTCGTTTCAAATGGTTCTAAAATGTAGCTAAAATTCTCTAAAGAGCTGAAAATCTTACAAAATCAACTGGTTACCATCCAAACGACATGGATTGAGGTATATAATTCAATATTAGCGGATGATTCGTGCAGAAATGTCGACTGGGCATTTTCTACCGCCGACTCGAAGAGCAGTACTTCTTCGTCACACAAGTTGTTCGATGTCAAACACAAAATCTTCAAAAATAAGAAATCACATGGATATTCAAGGTTCATACTTTGACAGAAAACAATCATTCGAAGCATATCAAACCTCATCTGAAAAATATTGATGCCATTTTCTAAACTAACGGTGTGCTTGAAGTTCGGAAAACTGCACGTGTGAGCTTTACTGAACTCTGTATACAAAATCTATATTGTGTATGAAAGCATTTTAATTCTCTATTGTTTGTTTTGATGATTGTTTAACTTGAAAAACCCTTAGACTCCAAAAATATGAACTGTCATTAGAAGGCTAAGGTACACCTTTATGATGGCACAGAACACCAGATTTACAAATTAATGAAAAACACCAAATAAAAAAGAACAGAAACACAAGATACATGATTCAAATGATCAAAATATTATTCAAAGTTATACTGCCAAGACTGTACAGTTTCTATCGTTTATGTGACCTATATGACCTATCAGATATTTTGACTAATATAGACGCTCTTCAGCGTAAAGTCGAGCTAGTTATTTTGGAAAACTTAGAAAAAAAAGACATGGCATCCAAAGAATTTACTTAGAGTTCAGTTCGGTAAAAAATTATGATGTAATAAATTGATAACATATTAACTTAATTCTGTCTTGACTTATTACAAACAAAGACTATATTGTGAAAATGAAACACCATTGTCACAGGAAGCCCACGTAAGAGATCCATGATCGTCTAGTTATGAATTTTATTCATCATCGATTTGTAGCACTGAATAAGGGCCCAGTGATTTGTACGGTTTGTATCGTAAAAAAAGCTGCGGCAGCAATTTATGGATTGAATAAGTTGTTCGACAGGCAAGAATTCAAGGTATAACCTTGGCCTCAGCTGCGAAATGACTAATATTAATACGCATAGTTTTACATCAGGACTTTGGTATGTCAGACGTCAGAAGAATATTTTACACGCTTCTGAGGATAAGGTTGCTTGAATCCAACGAAACTAATAAGCCAATTATGACTTGACTATAGCTAGGCTTATCTAAATCTAATGAAGATTTAGCAAAAAGAAACAACAGTTTTTAAAAAATGTTTCTGATCTAGAAACATGTTATACAACTGATCTGATATTGCTTATCTTCATGGGTTTATGCGTAAACCAATCCCAATCCATTATAATCAAGCTTCTTCACAGCAGGTTGAAACGCTTTCTGCTTGCGTGCATTAATCACGATCAAAGAGGCACATCTAATGAATGCAAAGTCCCTTTGAGTTTCTGACGAGGCAAATTTTCGTTTGAAGCACTCAACAACAGAAAAAGAAAAGAAAGAAGTAGCAAATTCAAGATATTTCAGCGAAATTTGGAGTATAAGATTGATTATTCCTATGATATCGTGAATAGACATTAGATAATGCCACCGCGAAACAATCACCCATATAGTAATCTTGTCGTCGAGGATTCAGTTTGACTGATCGATGATGTAGCTGCATCTAGATGTTGAATAGGACTACTGATTAATAAGTAAGATGTGTTTCCAGATTTTTCCACTGTACATCAAGATTGAAATCTGAGTTTGTTCTGTCTGTTTGAAAAACAGCCGGCAAATCGGTAGGTAAAAGTGATATTGAAGCTTTTCCGATTGTACTGTTGTTGTATTCGTAAAAAAAACGTTATCTTAGTTTTGGACGGGTCGTCGGCGTCTAAACCGGCACCCCCACCAGTCTACACTGGTGAGGAGGGTGGCATGACACCCAGCAGGACTAAAAACAAAACCTGTCAAAGCGCGAATGAGCTTGGTTAAGCCACCGGGCATCATGCAAAAACACTTGTTTATTGTGATGTAAATCTGATTGTTGTACTTTAATTTTTAGTTTGAGATCTTGGGACGGACTGTGCAGCGGCAGCCAGAGGCGCCAACTCAAGCTCACAGTCTACCAAGACTCTCATGTGTTTTGTAGTTGTCATGTAGTTTTAAAGCGCTTAGAACAGAATTGGATAAGCGCTATATAAATAGGATTATATTATTATTATATTATTAATT